AAAAAAAAAAAAAAAAAAAAAAAAAAAAAAAAAAAAAGTTACAGGCAAGAGTGAGGCTCCCAGCATTTAAGCATGGGGTCCGTGTGAGATTATGTAATCAGCACAGGCCAGGCTGGGTGCTGTTTTGGCAGACCACCAGGGCCGATCAGTCATCCATCAAACATCTGTGCGTGGCTACTTTGGGCCTCACAGACCTCAGTATGTAGCAGGGACTAGGACAAAGCTCTGGCCTGGGATCTGCAAGTCACCTGTCCAGGTGGCAGCTCTGGGGCCTCTGCCCGATAAGAGCAAACTGGCGTGGATACCTCTTCCAGGCAGGAGCACCAAGACTTCCGGGGCAGGCCTGGCCTTGGCAGGCACCTCTGTGGTATCCTCCTCCTGGGACCAGAGGGCACCACTCTGCCACCCTGAGGGGACCCAGACAGAGCTGAGTCCAGAGCACCATTTGGGACCCATGTTCCAAGGGCCGGGGTTCTGGCTCTGAGCAGGCCAGGTCTGGGAGTGAAAACCTCAGACTGAAAGTGGAGGCACTAACTAGAGAGCATGGCAGGCCTTCCTGGCCCTCATGGGGCCTGTTTCCTCATCTGTAGGATGAGGATAATATTTTCTATCTCCTTGCCAGACTATGGTAAGGATTGGAGGGCCCAGGCAGCACAGACCAGAAAACTGTGACTATGATGACACGAATCGTTTTGGGGTCCCAGGAATCCTGTGGTTGCTGCCGCCTATTCCCAAAGAAGAGGCACATCTGAAGGGCTGTGGCTGTAAAGGTGTTTATTTTTTCCCATTCCAAAAAGATGTTCATACGCACCGACAGAGACGGAGTGACAACCACAATTGAAGGTATATCCACGAGGCCAGATGATCAAAACATCCCCCACCAAGTCTACTTGGTAGAGAGCCCAGGGACCCCTTTCCACCAAAAACCCATCCCAAAGATGAGCCCCCTGCGTTATAACCACACGGAGCAGAGATGCACAACCCAATTCCAAGAGCCGATGGGCAGAAGCCATGGTTTTATACATAGAAATATATATACCAAGTACAGACCAGCTTGGGTTCTGGTAGAGCTGCTTGTGCACAGGGTGGGGCTGAGGCAAACAGCAGCTGTCACAAAGCACAGGTGGAAGGGGACAGCACAGGGAAAGCCTCCTGTGAGCAGCTTCCCTGAGGGGTCGCAGAGGTGACTCACCCTGGACAGGGCCCACTCATCCACGATGCCAGGTTGCAGGAGACTGGAGAAGTAAAGAATGCGCAACAGTTTCTGGAAAAGGCCCTGGCTAGTCTCGGTGAGGGGCATCCTACTGCTCACAGCCAGGAGGAGGATCCAGCCATAGAGGCAACACCACCCATGGTGAGCAGCTCTCCGCATCCAAGACCACACCGGCAACGACTGTGCAGAGTTGGCAGAGGCATGAGGGGAGGACCTGACAAGGACCACTGGCCGCAAGGTCCCAACGGGGCTCAGGCTGGGGCAGGCGAACAGGGCAGTGGGTGGAGCCGGGCCAAGCTGAAAAGGCACAGGCCAGACCCACTGAGGGTCACTGCACTTGCCCACCTCACAGTGACCTGTGTGGACATCTGAGCCCCTTCAGGGACAGTGGGTGCCCAGCCCAAGGGCTCTAGGGTCACAGAGGCAAGGGAATCCCACTAAGTGAATGACTAGTTTCTAGGGACAGGAGAGGGTACACACAAACCCCAGGGACATCAGCAGGGCCATCCCGTGACTTTCTGGCCAGTGACTGCCCAAGAGCCAGGAATCAGGCTGCAAAGATCAAGGACAGTTTCCCTTGGTCTCGAAGGCATTTTTCTTAGTGACCCAGAAAACCAGCTTCTTACTAGGGTCTCTCAATCTACCAAGCCCTCTCGCTGGCTTCTGGGGACAGGAATGCCCCTTCAAGGTCATCTTTCCTGCACCAATAGGACTAAAGACACAGGCAGACCACATGCAAAATGTGACTCCCACATAGGATGTTGGGTAACTGCCGGCCAGCCTTGCCCACCAAGTCGCAAACATGCTTTTGTGACACCAGTGGCAAAAGCCCTGGTCCAGAACAGGCTCCGCTAGGCTCTTGATGAGAACACCAGCAGCTAGCATTGTGGATGTCATGCTTGTGAAATCGTTGTCATTTCATAACCAAAGTGTCCTTAAGCACAACTTGAACCAAGGCCTTTGTTGAGACTCAATGCAGGTGGCTTTTTTTTTTTTTTTTTGGTTTTTTGAGACAGGGTCTCACTATGTAGTTGAGACTGACCTGGAACTATGTAGCCCAGGCTGGTCTTGAACTCACAGCAATCCTCCTGCCTCAGCCTCCCTAGTGCTGGATTACAGGCATGAGCCACCACGGCAGGTGACCTTCTGAGATCACCCAAGGCCTCAGCCAAAACATGGCCTTGCCACGTGGCCTCAGAGTCACAGCCCCATGCACTGACCACCATTAAGAAGGGCCGACGTGCTGACCAGCTGGGGATGGAAGCTGAGGCCTGGGTTCCAGCTCCATGATGCTGGTTGTCCACTCCAGCAACCTGCTTTTCCTAGCAGAGCTTCCTGTGGGCGTGACGCCCTCAGTGGGCCTACAACTTATGGTCTAGGCTGCCCGTCTGTCCCTCACAGCCTCCCAAGGCGGGGCCAATGAGGCTTTGGGGAAACTGCAACATGCTGGAACCCAGAGGGCTGCACACACCTGAGGCTTTCTCATGCCGGTTGCATAGGGCTCTTCCACAGGGTATCTGGAGCCTGGTCACTGTCCACTGCAGCCGCTGATGCTCCTGTGCCTGCTGGACAGCATCCAGCATCCAGCCTGACAGGTGGCTCCTGTCCACCCATAGCTGCTGGGTCTCTGAGGCCACACCTTACCCCATTCCTATTCCTGGAACACATAACTGCACCCTTGCCACCTGCATGGAAACCTGCAGAAACACTGTGCCACCAGTAAGCAGTTACCTGACACCCAGCCCGAGGCAGCCATGTGTGACTCGACCACGCTGCACTGCACAGGGACCTGGCACAGCTGGGCCATGCCACACACCTTGCCTATTCTCAAGGCTGATCAGCACTGGGGTTTTACTTAAGAGACATAAAGCTGCTTTATTAAACATCTCTCTTCAAGGGCCAGGAGGATTATGTAACAAACATGAGCAACATTTTGTAAACGCGTGTGAAATGTAGTTTGATTTCAGTAGTTTATTTCGGAGACAAAGCAGTGCAAGAGGCTGGCCACGCTTCCCCGCTTCCTGGGCTCAGGGTCCGATCCGGGAAAGGCGACACACAATGATCAGGGTCAACGCTTGACTCCTGTAACCATGACAGTCCTGCGCCATTTGGTGGGTTCTGCCCCTCGCCCTGGCCCAGCCCAAAGGAAGCCCCCAGCAGCCCGCTGTGTGTCTGCCTTGGCAGCCTCCCTGGGGCCGTTCAGGGGTCCTTGCAGTGACCCCTGCCTCACAGGACTACAGACGACAGACCAGAGGCCTCTCCTCTTCCAAAGCGAACTGATCTCTTAATACACAAGATGCTGCCAAGGAGGCCCAGGCTTCTTACCCAGGCTCCACATCCTCTGGGCTGGAGATGGCTCTCAGAAGCCCCATCTCACAGGCTCTGGGATCAGCTGTGGTGACAGGACAGGGTGAGTCTGAGGTGGGTGCAGCTCCCTGCAGGGTGGCTGAGAGCCTGGGCTTACAATGAGCACAGGAGGGCCGCGTGGGGCCTGCTTCCTGGACAAGGCCTGGTGTGTGTGGACAGGAGTGATCCATATGGTCCGGGTGTCCCCCCTCACCCCGGAAGACCCCCATTAGCCCTGATGCCCAGCAAAGGCTCCCCCACTGGCCTCACCCAGCTTCACCAAAGCACGGAGAAGCAGGCTGCCTCTCAGGGCTGGAGCATAAAGCTGGCCCTCAGTTCTCTGGTCTCACCACCCACTAGAGATGAGGGGACAGAGGTCCAAAGACCCGTGAAACTGTTCAAAATCCCAGCACAAATGTTGGGTGCAGGTGGATTCAGCCCAGGGTTCCTGGCAAGGTGGTCTCCTCCTGGGTCCCGGGGAGGGGTGGCGCTGGGTTGGACCCATATGGAGGGGCCTGGTGACTCGAGGGAGGAGGGGAGAATGGCAGCAACCAAGGGCCTCAGCCTCTACCCATGGGAAGCTTCCTTTTCCGTCCCAGTCATTGGGAGGTGGGTCACAATGCAGCATGAGCTCTGCCAGGGGACCTGCAAGCTCCCTGGCTTATGGGAGGGGTCAGCTGCACACTGTGGGTGGCGCTGGTCTCTGCAGACAGGCAGGAGGGAGAAGTAAGGGTCAGGTCTGGGTGTGGACAGCCCGGAGCTGGGAACAAAGGGAACAGTTCATTTGCAGGCTCTGTGCAGCCACCAACAGCTCAGCCAGGCCTCCCTGCAGGGTCCCCAGAAGCCTGGCCCACAGCAGCCACGGAGACATACACACAGAGCCCTGTACACTTGCACAGCAACCACACACACACACACACACACCCGCTTCACATTCAGACCTAGTGTTGAAAACACAAGCGTGTGTAAACTCAGTGAAGAGATCTGCACAGTAGGAACCAGGCGGGGCATCCCTGTTCCATGAGCAGGGACACTGGGTGTTCTCTTCATTTTCTCCCCACCCCTCATTTAGATCACAACATCATAAAATCAGATTAAAAATTAAAAAAGCATCAGATCATCAGGGATTCTGAGTGGCATCCCCGCTGGGAGCTGCTGGCCCCTCTGGGTCCCGGGCTCCATGGCTACTGTGAGGAGGCCTTGGTGGCCAGGGAGGCCACACAGTGCTGCTGGAAGCTGGGCGACACCCCGGCCGTGCAGCCAAGTCTCTGGTGTGGCAGCTTGGTGGAGCCACCCGCGCCCACGCTGCCCATGTCGGCCTCTGCGGTCCAGGGCGTGTC